CATGTGCCTTTGATTATTCCTCCCAAACATTTGCATATTCTTTGCATTATGTGAGGAATTGTCTTACATGGTTGGATTGGCTCTGTGGGATGTGCACTTTGGTCCAGTCTGTTCTCGGGTAGCATTTCTTTCAAAAATATTCAGTAGAATGTGCTCTTTTTTTAAATTAGAATCCAACATACATGAAGGGTCTTATTTACAGGATAGACCTCTGCTTGTATCTTAGTTTTTAATTATAATTTATATGATATTCACACAATGGAAAGCTTTGTCAACATGTTATTGAGCACATAATTAAAAAAGAATGCCTGGAAATCCTTCCAATCCATTATCTCAGGCATCCTCCAAAACATGTTTGGTCTACTATGACTCACAGCCGGTTCACCTGTGGAGTTAATGAAGGAAGTTTTAAAAAACCTCTTGCCGTTTGTGCACTTTCTCTTAGCTGCTGCAAATGTATGTCAGCTAAATGCCTCCAATGTAAAATGAGATGGGATTGAAAAGAGCTAATAGAGTTGCGACTGTGATTAGCCTCCGAGATGCTGCAGTGAACTGTGGTGGCGGTTTTTATCAGCAGGGTCCCGCTGGCTCTATTTGCCTGCTGACATGATAGCACTTCCTGCAGGAAAGATCCTAATTAATTGTTATCATTATTTGTTTATTTCTGCCTACAGCTATTGCTCGTTTCCTTTCTCAGCTCACTATTGTGTCTGTGTCTGTGTCTGGCCTGCTTTCTGACTCTGATCACCCTCAAATTCTCAGCTTGGTTTCTGTCATTTGTCAGTTTTTCCTCCTCTTCCGTTTATTTTTTCCATTTTTCTATCAATGATTTTTCCACCATCTTATTCCTTTTTCTTCTTTTTTGTTAGATATCTCATGACATCTAGTAGTTTTTTGCTCCTTTATTGGGCTGCTTGGTGGTACTTGCCTCCACAGACTACAACCAGAACATGTTGGGTTAAACAACGATTCCCCACAGGTCTTAGGAGGGAGCCAATCTGTAACATTGTGACCCAGGGTCTTAGACATTGTCTCAGTGGTGAATTGTGTTAGTTATTAATGATGAAGAAAACAGGATAAGCTGCTGCCAAATGACTCTTCCTTTCTGTTTAGCAGCAGCCCTGTCACCAACAGTGTGCATGACAATATTTTTTACCAAGTGCGATCATGTTTGACCATTTTATACATTTTTGCTTTCTGACAGTTTGTCGATGGGTTGCCCTTGATTTCCACAGTAGATTCTAAATTTATTTGAGTAGAGTTCAAATCCAATACAGCTGTACTTTATTCTCTGAGATACTGTTGCTTTTACCTATTGGGGATTTATGGATCATAATATTTTTCTTTCAGCTAATTATGTCTGACTAAAATAAAGCAAACATAAAGCGGACTGGTTTTCAACAGTACACTTAGAGATGTGCAAACTTTGGCTTTGTTTAACTTTCAGTATGTGTTACCAGACAAAACAGTTAGTCAAACCTATAAGCACTGACTGCGTAAGTGTCATCCTTGGGAGATGTTTAACTTAATTGGAAGTGAAAGTGCTGTTTTACTTCCATGCGTTAAAGTTACACAATTCAAAAAGGACAGACTTTATTTTTCTCTAGTGGAGCTCTCTTTATTTATAAAATCTGCCAAAGTTACATTTTAAAACACTTCGCCGACTTATGTTTCATACAGTTTTGAGGTGACAAATAAATGGTCATTAAAGTTTATTAGAAATATCATGAGCAAGGTTCAATTTGTGTTTTTTTTTGTCTGACACCCAAGATATCCAAAGAGCCTCACTGTCATCAAATGATAACTACTTATATATATTTTTTTGTATTGAAAAGAGAAGAAAATCCATGTGGATTATTTGAAATTTACTGTGAGAGCCACATATGTAACAATAATGTCAACGGCAGGCAAATTTGAAAAGTTATAAGTTAGTGTATCAGCTAATCCAGCCACCATTTGCATAATATTAACATAAATTATGGACTGTTAAATGTAGGTTTTACGCTTCATTATGTCTGCCAATGTGGAAATGCTGTTGGCCAGCAGAGGCAGTATATAATCGCTGGTTTGGATGTGCTATTAATCTCTGCTAATATGCACCTGAGAGCAAAAATATGCCAAAACCTTTTACTTGCATTAGTCACCGATGAAATCAGATGAGTGGTTCCTCACCATTATGCAGCTGTTTGCCATTCATCAGTGTATTTGGTTTGATCAGTCGCAGCTTTCTGCAATCCTAGTCATCTGACACTTTAACACAGCGTCCGCCAATGCCAATTGATCTCATATATGGACCTATAAAATAATGATTTGTTGAATGTAAAAAATAAGTTTTCCATATATAACTTTTTCTTTTGGCAATAAACATATCTGTTGTAGCAAATTAATCTGGTCATAATCTATCAAGGTTCGTTAAACTCATTTACTGAGGCCAGGTTTCAATTCAGAAGGCTTGACCTCATTGGCCTGGTTCATTCAACAACAGATGTAATTAGTTCTAGGCCACAAATGTAATTAGCTGCTGAATTAACCAGTATAGGTTTTATGGGGTTTACTCATGCCATCCATCCATTCAATTTTCATATCCACTTTATCATGTGGAGGGGTTCGGGAGAACTCCTATAGTCAATTAAATATAACAAATTAACCTGACATGCATGTTAAAAACGTGGACATAAATACAAGATTGAATTTAGTCTTGTTGAAGACTTTGTAAGCCCCACACGTATACTGCATATATTAAGCGGGGGCAGCAGGCTTACTTTCCATTTAAAGTAAAAAAAAAAAAGGAAGGAAATAACAAATTTGAGTATATTAGCTTGAGAATTGGGAACATGGGATCTACTTTCACTAGTTATCTGACTCTTGGATAAGAATGTATGCAAATTTGGCAAATGTGTTTTTGCTAGATTCGCACTCAGTCGCTCTGACCGCTTCTTCCTGGCTGATTTTCAATCTGCTTAAACAGTAAAGTTGATTGTCAGCAGTTTTACACGTATTAGGTGGCTACTATTTTCAGCATTTTGAATGTGTGCCTGTTGGAAATTAACTGAGCAGAAAAAAGGGTAGTCAATTAATTAGGAGCATGTCTATTTTCAAGACCTTTTTCAGGCGGCCTACCGAGCATAATTGAATTTTCTTTGTTGATGTTCCTTGTTTGAGAGCTGGTGTCCAAGCTCCACTCGCCAGCACAGCAGCCATCGTGATTAAAATGCCTAATTCATGGGAAGAGGGAAAAGGCTTATCTCTCAAATGAGAGAGTAGAGGCTCATAAAACCCATCTCTTATCAAAGAGTTTGTTGGAAATGAAAGAAACTGATGAAAATTTTAGAGAGAGTAGAGTTCCTAATAATTGTCAAAGGGGTATGTTTGGTGATCTCCTTGAATTATGGTTCAGTCTGATGGCTTTTATCTGATTGCATTTGTGAAATGGTACCGAAAAAACAACAAAAAAGCATGTTGAATTTTATTAATCAGCATTACTGGCACTCTCCAAAAACATCCATGTTAGCATGACAGGCGTATGAATAACTGAACAAAGCAATATACTGTTCCCAGTGCACTTATGGGTTTTTTCATTAGTACTCACTGCCCTAAACATCTTGACACAACTTGAATTTTGTGTTTTTCCATTAAAAATGAGGTTCTTACAGAAAGACTGGATGACCTGAACATGCACAAGCACACAAGCACAAGAACATTTTCTAGATATTGTGTGGAATGTTGTGTAAGGCCGAGCTGAGGAGATACAAGCGGAAAAACCTGCAAATAGTTGCCACCGGCACCATCTTGAAACTTTCACTCTGACATGTGCTCTTACATTTGTGAAGGTCACACTAGCAACTTCTACTCAGGAGGCAGGAGATGATGTGGTTTCAAAGTTTGACATATTGTGGATTTTGTGCATCTTAAAAACAGTGATTGACATGGCTTGTCAGTGAGATGAACCATGTAAGGGGAGAGGTGTCAAGGTAAAATCGGACAAGGCACCTGGCCATCATGGATGTTCAGTTTATATTGTCATAAGGCAAAGGATGCGGAAATCTCCTTTTTGTCCCTCTTTGGACCAATGATGGACTGGTGGCATGTCGAGGGTATACACACTTACCCACTGAGAGCTGCAATATGCCCCATAACAGGCGTCATCAGACTACATTTAAAACAAATGAAAATCACCTGCTACAGGAAACTGTAGCATCATCAACCCAATCAAATGCGAAGCCAATATAGAGTAGAACTAATCATTTGCATTCGGGAAAACGGAGGCTTATTCAGATTTTTGTCAATTCAGGACGACTGACAGCCAGTTTACACATTCATCATCTGAGAGGAAAATGCACTAAGATTATTTCTTAACATAACAGATAGTAATCATGTGGCTAATTAAAAGTAGTTGCGTCAGCAGCATCAACATATCTCGATTCTGTCCCCTTTTTTATTACTGGATTTTATCTCCCAGCCTTTAGCTTTCTGTTTGCATCTTGGGGGTGGAGAGATGGGCTCATTAAACTGGCTCAAACTAATTTAACTTGCATTTGGGAATCTAGCTTAAATCTACAACGAATGCCTTCATTTAAAGGGCATGGAAAAGCACTTAGAGAGGGAGGCTGAAACTGATATAAAACCTGCTGCACTATATATTTGAGAAGTTAAATGTAAATATGAAAAATACATAAGCACATCTGTCAATTTAAAAAAATCTTGCTACAGTCGCTCATAATCTACTTGAAAGATGTAAGATTGTCTCTTCACTCTCTCTAGTTCAGAACATATGATTCTCTCTTGCATTCTCACACTTTTGCCAGTCTCCTTAAGTAATCTGTGTGGTCTCAGATTTGTTTTCTCCACAATGCTGTGATACATGCCTGTGATAATTTCATTTTTGTGCACATGGGCAGGATTTGGTCTATATTTGTAAAAAAATCATCATGGGGCAAGCCACTAGTTATATTTTTCATGTGTGCCGAAGTTGAACTGGCTCCTTTGTGTGTCCCGCAGGTGGCGGAACAGGCAGCCAGCAGACCATTCTCCATGAGGAGCAGTGGAAGATGCCGGCTCTGCCAGCTCTGCTGCTGTCGATTTATGTCGTCATCCTGCTGCTGACTATGGCACCTCTCTCCTTCAGCCAGGTCAACACCCTCTCTGCCGTCCGGATGGGTGAGCACAACAATCTCTACAACTCTATTTTTTGTCATCCTGCAATACATACTCGTCATTTCAGAGATAGAAAGTTTGAAACTGAGTGCAAGCAGTCTTCTGTGGAAGGAAATAAGCCACATTAATAGTAGTATTCTTAAATTAAACGTGGTTTAAAATGATCAGGTTGAATTTCTTCATTTTAGTTATAAAACAACATAAAACTGAGGAATATATTAATACTGAATAAAAGCCAGTGCAACACACGCACTTGTCATAAAAGTAACATCCAGTGTCTTCTGATTCTAAAAGATTGATTTAATGTTGAGTGCTAAACTCACAAGCTCTTGGTTTGAAAAATCTGAGACGAAGTAGCAAAACGTCCTCTAATCCAAACATATTCGTAAGGTTATTTGTAATAGCCTTTTCCAATCATGATCTGGCCAACAGATGGAGAGATTTAACTGCTCTCAAATGCGTCCAACCCACTGAGTGCACTGCCGCTCATTCTGGCCTCACAGTTTTGCAGCTGTTTGTGATTGAATTTGCACTGAAGTCACAGACCTCGTACAATATTTGACTTTTAATGTATTATTTTCAGCCAAGCTTGGTGACCATGACAATAGCATTGACAGCTGTTCAACTGGAAGGACACACTTTTTCATCCAGCAATGAGAATTTAGTATAATGATTCGATTTCTAAATTTTAACTGGAACACATATGTCCATAAGTTTTACACACTTTTCACCACTCATGCTGTGGTGCAATAGTCGTAACTGTTAGATGTCATAAACCTTCAATGTTTAACTGACGTCATTTAGAGAAGCATCTGCCATTATGGATGTCACAGATCAGGTTGCAGCCGATCACTGCACCATTTTGGTGGATATCTGTTTAAAAATGTATTTCTAAGATCTCCATTTTAAAGTAATGCCAAATTTCTGTTTTCTATCAAATGTCTAGAACAAATAGCTGGTAATAACTTAGATATTACAGTTCTTTTCCATGGGTGATCAAATAAATCTTAATGCCTTTGTATCACTCTGGTGATTTCTCGCTTTTTACTGTGCATCACATTTAAGACTCTGTGTCCCGCATTTGCTTGAAACGGAGCAAATCTATTAAACTAAAGCAAGCAAGCCTGTCAAAATTGAATTGATAAAAGGTCAGCTGTAAGCAATCGTCCATCTTTCTTTTTTATAAAGGCCATTTGATGTTTCTGAACAGACAGACAAAGCAGGAAGATGTTGTGTGAAATGCGTCATTCTTATAAGATTGGGTAAACAACGTTGTCAGTACAGCAATAAAATAACCAGTTAACTTCCAACAAATCGGCTCGGGTCTGGACACTGAGGCTGTCGCTCTTTACACCCAGTAAAAATGGACTGAATGTGAATGCCAGAAATATCAACCTCTTCATAGACGAGAGCTGACCCTGTGCAGTAGCCACTCTTAACTGTTTCAGGGATCTTGAAGTCGATCTATTACTTCAAAAAGCTTGCGAAGACTGAGCAAGTTGGAATCGCACAGACTCACAATGGTGCATGCAAACCCCCACCGCAGTCAGCATAAAGCATGTTGAACATTTGGACACACCACCTCATTCAGGTTTATGTAGGGCAACCATGATAGCAGAAGCCATCTGCCTGTGACAAAGGCAACACTGCAAGCAACAAGATGACAAACCAGAAATAGAGATGCACAGAAAGCGAGGAGGAGTTGGGAGGCCTCATTGCAGCTACGACATGCAAAACCCACTCGTCATCATTTCTGTTTCCTCCTACTAGAAATGGTAAAGAGAGAAGTACCCTTTGGCTATGTACAGTAACACCTGCCATGTTTATTTTTGTTTAGCCCTCCCCGCTGACTCGCCTGTTTTGCATATTGAAAATGCAGCGCACATTTCAAGAGTGGGCAAATGCACACGGATAGCAGATGGAAATGCAGAAAAGTGTGATCAGTTCATTATTATATGGAAAGCATATCTAGAGGGCAAAAAAAAATCACAATTTAATTCAGGCAGGTAAATACTGTCTGTTGATGCATCTTGATCCGACTAGTAGATGAGATTAGCCTCTGTGACAAAGCTGTGACAAAGAAGAAAAAAAAGAATTTCAGACGCAGGACTTCTCTCTGAGCCAGAGGGTAGATCGTGCTTACTGTATAATTCATCCATCCATCCATCCATTTTTCGTAACCGCTTATTCCCAAGTGTCGCGGGGGGACTGGAGCCTATGTCAGTAGTCAATGGACGAGAGGCGGGGTGCACCCTGGACGGTCCGCCAGGCCACACAGAGACACACCACGCACACTCACTCCTGAGGGCAATTTAAAAATGTCCAATCAACAGTAACATGCAGGTTTTTGGACGGTGGGAGAAAACCCACGCAGACACAGGGAGAACATAAAAAACAGCACACAGAAAGGTCCCGGTTCCCCCGGGGACTGGAACCCACAACCCTCTCGCTGTGAGGCGATGGTGCTGACCGCCGTGTATAATTCATCCCATCATATATACCAGTTTCAGTGAACACTGAGTTGTAACATTGCATAGCAGGAACAGCACAGAACAAGCCTAGAAATCAAAGTGAATATGCAGCGAAGCCCCAGCAATATGCAGAAAGTCTGCTGCTGCTGCCAGGGTTTGTTCTAGATTTGATTTGTGTTTCTTTAATAATTAAAGCTTCCCAGAGCAAGGCAGAAGGCAATTTATCTTGTCCTTCCTCAAAAAGGCTGTTGTGGGTTTTTCACATTTTCAAGTAACACAAAGAGAACCAGATGGTTATCTGGTGTTCAGTGTAAACCTCACGAATCGTGATCAGACACTGCGGAAGAGATTTTTTTTTTTTTTTCATGAAGACTTTAATGACTCCTGCCTCCATTAGGATAATGCCGTCTCTCTTCACACATTTAGGGGCCCCATCATTTCTGCCCATATGTTCGCCGGCCCCTCTGGGCAGAGGAATACGAATGTTTTTGCGTCAATGGAAATATGACTAGTGGTGACATGAACAGATCAAGAATTTTCATGCTATATTTATTTATTTTTATTTTTTGCAATGTCACGTGATGATGTTGGTCCTGCTACACAACTGTACGTAACTATATAACACACTCGTTTAAAATATTCTAAAGGTTGTCAAAACACTAGTTTTGACTGGTACTGTTTTTTGGATAACTGGACTACTTTCAACACATTTTCTTCAGGTTGTTAAAAACCAAAATAGTCAGTCAGTGTTGCTTAGCACAGAAGGCCATCTTTCTGTCTGACTCACAGCTCATTATCAGTTCAATATAAAGACACAGAAAATCTCTAAGGAAGCTTAAGAGAAAAGAGCAATCCTGACTCAAAATATATTTTCCATTTAAAGTGAAAGAAATTAAGAGGCCTTCTTTATTGCCTAGAGTATTCTTCTTTTTGTGGTGAAAATCCATTTTCCCACTAATGCGCCGTGCTTCGGGGGTTTTATGAGAAAGGACACAATAAGGCAAGGAGTCAGGTTATCTTGCTGTTTTTTTCTGGTTTTATCAAATTGCAAAAACAGAAAGACAAAATCAATGCTTGTTCATTGAAGAAAGATTAGTGGCATGATCAACTCTGAAGACAAAATTAGCTATTCGGTTTCAGCAGCTGCTCTGAAGGCAAATCTCAGACCCAAAACCATTCCTAACACTTTTAAATACACACAATTTTCATTGCTTTGTACCTTAAATTTATAACATTTTTAAAGAATTATAAAAAAAAAACATCTATCTTTACCAAATAGAGCCACTCTTTACTCCTCTAGAGTATTTTTCAAGTCAGATGATTGCAGGTACAATCCTTACTTCACCTTCTTCCTACCCTGGGAGGCACCCGCCATTTGTCCCTTACTTTTAAAGCACATGGGATGGGAAAAAACAAAAAGATATCGTAAATAGTATCCTGTAAAGGTTTTCAGCCACCCCTAATCTTTTAGCAAATACTTCTAGGCAAATGGGAAATTGGTACAGTGATTCTTTTAGACATGGAAACCTGAAGGGGAATTCACTCTATGTGGCAAATGTTTAATTAGCACATGAAACCAAATATAAAAGCAACAGTTTCCATGAGCTCCTGTATTCACTGCATGAATCCTCTTAGACAAGCTTTCTTGTTATGTACTACAGCAGTTTTTTGGAAATCTTCTGCAGGCAGGTTCAATTTTCTTGCGTTCCGGGCTTTAAGGATTCATCCCTCCAGAAGACCTGTTGCCACTGATTTTCAGTCCTGCTCTTGATCCACTTTGCATACAACAGCCTTTACATTTAAAAGGCTTTTTCCCTTTTCTCATGAGTGTCTTCTTGATGGCCGCTATCATGTCCTACCTAATGCCTAAGTCTTTCAAGTTTTCTTTTAGATCATCACTTAATGATGGCAGATTCAAACCGGCTTTTTCTATCCTCTCAGTTGGAGTAACAGACAACTCTGTATACCATTAGCTGGATGATAGCTAGTCAGTTATGGCTGCAGTTCAGACAAGGAGTTGAATCAATACGAAGCGCTATAGAGGATGTATTCCCAAAGACAACAAACTCTCCATGAAAGAAAAAAACAAGTAAATAGATAAATAAAAACGCAACTCTGGAAACTGCCAGTATTCTCTTGTTATTTTCATACTTCTTTGTATTTCCATTGTATCTCCTCCTGACAGTCCTGTTTACCACCTCTGAGGAGTAAAACAAACTCCTCTCAAATTTAATATGATACAGTGTTGTTTCAACTTCATTCTTTACCCTGGTGACAAAACGCCTTTGCTCCCGTCTTCTTGCCTGCTGGTTTGGAGCGTCACATTGTATTTATGAAACAAAATCGTACGGAGCAAGTCAGAGTGGCGCGCTCTGGATTTAAGCTGAGACACAAAGATAAAACTTATTTTATCAAGCCAAAAGGAGCTCTGTAGACTGATTTATTCAAGCCCCGGAGGCAGTGTACCTTCACAAAAAATTGACTAACCGGTTTTCTTGTCACATCCCATCTGTGAGCTCCTGTGGTTGACGTTATTTTATATGAGAGAGGAAGTATGGACTCTGGGGGCCACAGGTAGGTCGACAGATTCAATGAGACAAGACAAAGGGGAGGATCAAAACAACAAATCACACCACTGGCTTGCAGCTAGGATCAAGGGACTGCTGCAATCCTCTGGTGACTGGTATTCTTCCAGAGGCAAATATGACAACTTTGCACTCATTTTTTTAAGCAGACATCTGGGTGCACTCGCATTTTTACATCTATACTGAATGGTTTTAAATTCCCCCCAACCCTTATGGCTTAAGATTGTCTTTTCTTGAAGAAAACGTGTTACTAGAAAAACAGCTCCCCAATGTTTTTCCAGGTAAACACTGGGTTTGGAACAAAGGGCGTCCCATCTATCATTTCATATTGTCTGACTGAGCTTGAGTCCTGTCATGCATTCGGATCAAATCTGGATCTATATTCAACAAAATAGTGCTGTGGCTCCAGGGAAAGCATCGTCAGTCATTTTGTTTTTGATCCACAGTGAGATGTGTCCTTACAGTTTATAGTTAGGATGGTTTTGAGATAGTCATGTAAAAATCTGAAAGAATCCAACGTTTTGATTGACCAGCAAATACATTCAGAAATAATGATATACCTGTCAACTATTAGCGTAATATATAAATAAAATCTACCCTTCCTTGTCATGTTGGCAAATCAACCATTCAATGTAACTTTAGATGGAGTTTTTCTCCTGCTTTACACCTTTTCCATTTGAAAGAAATTCACCATAAGCCATTAGAAAATTGGTCCCCACGGTGAGAAAAATTGTAAAAGGATTAATCTTACAACAATCCTACGGTTACAAACTACCCTTTACACACGGGCTGCTCTGTGGTTTAGAGATAACCAACTTTGAACATAAGTTAATGCCTCCCTCAGAATGGCTGACAGCACGGGCTGAAATAATTCATGGCAGGTTTTAGCAGCAGCTGAAGGACACAGATACCACTGAATAATTAACATTCTTCTCTGTATTATTTATGCCCCTGATTTTGATAGTTAATGTAGCCAAAATATGAAGTATTTTTTCCCTGGCTCCTGTTCTTATTAAAATCTCCATTCAGAATTTGCACCATGGGACATAAACCCAATGCAAAAATGGGAAAAACTGTGGAGTAACTGAAGTGGTGCTAACTAAACGACCACATTTGAGCTTGGTATCACTATGTATTTGTAATTTTGAGTCAGGATTAAGTTTCCTTACATTTCTCTAAAAGTAGTATATTACTGTTTATGAAAAAAAGATTTGAAAGCAGACACTTCAATTTATTTAATAAGTTATTTTTTCCTATTTCTGTCTTCTTTGCACACTGAAGATTAAGTTTTTGTTTGAACTTGTTGGAGTTTAATTGTTTCTGTTTTCGAACTTTGCACCTGAATCTAGTCTACAAATAGGATACTTTTTTGTAGATTAACCTGTTATGTTAATAAGCTTGTCTGCATTTTAGAGGGAAAAAAACATCCACAACCCTCTCTCTGCATATACTACAGTTTATGCAGACTCAAATCTTTCATGGAGAAGTTTATCGACCAAAAAGCTGGTGTGGCAGCACTGCTGGAGACCAGCAGCATAAGCCCAAAGTTCTTCTAATTACAGGCACTGCCTCTGATCTAATCTGGGTCATCTCTCCACATGACAATGAGACTGCTTTTATGTGATTGATGATTAAAGAATACATTTGATTTGATTGTAGTTCATGTGGAGTTCTGGATATATTTGCATAATTTTTTGGTTGCTTCTATGACTAAGAGTTAACGGCAATGACAAAAATTCCTAAGATGATTCTCATGAAAACATTCTCCTAGTAGTGGAGACAGAAACCTAATCGTTTTTTAATGCTCTTCTTTATGACACATATTTTCCATAATTTTAGCATGGCGTGAGGTTGTTAAACACATTGTTTTAAATTTGGTGTGGAAAGTTCCCTGGAAACTTTAGATGATCTTTGTCAGAGAGCGATCCGCGATCCTTGTAGCCTATGTCGCCATTATCATCCAGTTGGTCTTTTGATGTCCAGTTCTTGGGTGGGTTGAAATGGTCTTGGAATTCTTTGATTTTGCACACAGCCTTTTTCTTAGGTTCTCCAAATTTGATTGGTCCGCAACAGCATACATTTCTTTCAACATGTGTCTCTCATTGTCACCCGGTTCTTTGTCAACTCTTTAGTTGAGCCAATACAATGAATACTTTAACTCATTTCATTGAGTAAACTACAAGTTTTATTTTATTCTTGGACAGCCTGTTCTTTTCTGCTTGTAAGAATTGTTAGCTCAAATATATACTTAATGAAAAAAATACACCTAAAGGGTTTATAAATGCTCGTGCACAACGGTAAGAATTCTGAATAATACACAACTGTGTGAGTATTTCTCTATTCTTATACCCAGGCTGTTACCCAGCAACGGCAAAAGATCTTTTGAAAACCAGTGTGCCTCCTGATGATTGCCTGATGTTTAGTTACCTGCCAAAACAGCAGGTAATTCTGGCCCCCAGAATCCATCACAGAACAAGCCTAACTAGCATTTGACTGCTGGCAGTCACACATCATGATGGGGTTCCTTCAATTACCAAAACCTTTTCAAACAACCCTTTGTATTCTCATGACCCTTGAAATTTTGGGTGACAGCACAGGGTCTTGGAGGGGAAGTAAATTACATTTTCCAGCCCCAAAAAAGCTCTAACAGATCATTTGTGCACCTGAACTCTAATTTTTGGTTGACTTTGAAGAAAAAGTTCAAAGTCTGACGCTCTCCTGTCAAATAAATGAAATAAGATACACCAAAAAAAACAAAAAAACTCTATAGTGCTACCAGGAAAAATTGCAGGAGTGTTGATCAGTTTATTTCTGAAAAAACTGACCTTTTTCCGTCTCTTTCTGCGGCTTTTATGAAAGGAAAAATATATTCACTATTAAAAAGAGCCATTTGGAGTGACGCATTTTGTACTCCAGCACAAATCTTCTTTGTAAATCCATCAACATACTGAACCTAAATTCCTGCTTGTAGCATTACCCACTCTCAATAATATAATTTCTTAAGGTCAAAGAGCGTCTTCTGTTTTTATGCTGGTATTCTCCTCACCAGAGCAAATTGCAGAAAAAAATGCATGAACCATTGTTCGTGTGTATTAATGTCAGATATAACTGCGTGTGTCTGTAGCCCTCAGCTGTTATTAATGGAGGAGTGAAAGGTGAGCCATTACAAACCACCAGACAACCCAGTTGCTGTAGCAACGTTCATGTTAGCTCTCGCCTGTCTTACTGGCGCTCCACAAGTTAAAAGCAACAGGGATTTGAACTCATGGTTGAGAAAAGAACAGGCAAAAATCCTAGCTGTGAGGAGAGCTGAACCTTCCTGTACAACATTAAGAGTCTGCATTCATTAAAGTTAATTTTCCTCTGCGGGATGACATGAAGGAGAAAAACGAGAGGTCCAGATAGCAGATTCCCAGCTCGGGTTCTGCTGTGAATCATGAAGGGAAGCTCAGAGGTGGCCACTTTTACAGCTCTGGTCGAGTTAGGTCGTAGAAACGATCCAACCTGAGACAGAAACAAACTGAAGAAGAAATAAAAATTACAAGCTAGCAAGTAGAAGAAGTAAAGGGATGCCTTAAGTGATGGAAATGTTGTTGTAAGGTGAACAGAAAGAAGAAGCAATACAACAAAGGAACAGAAATCTGACTTGGATACAAATGAGATAAGCAGTCGTAAGTAAAAGAGTGTTTGAAAATATAGGATACAGAAGATGAAAACTATTGATTTGTTTCTGGTTAATCTGAATGGTTTCAGAGGTTCTTTTGTATGAATCCATATTTATAAGTTTAGATATCTAAAGTGAACCAAGCATGGTAAAATTTCATCATGTGTTGGATTGGTTTGTAAATAAAGCTCACTGTAGGCACCATATGCCCATTTATGTACATTTATGTATATTTATGTGTATTTTGAATTTATTTGTTTATGTGAATTTGATATGTCATTTAAATTAATGAGTGACATTAATCATTTAAGTTAAAAATATTTGGAAGTTTAAAATGTGAATTTAAAATATTTACGTTACTTAATGCGCCTTTAATGACGTGGTAATTATGCGCCAGGTGCCCAGTAAATTTGCTTTTGTGAAATTAACACGGCAGGAGGAAGGTTGGTGCCTCACGGTTTTCTGACCGTGTAATGCTCGAGCCATGCACGTGACGTGCTCGTTTTGTAACTTTAGATTTAGATTCGTGAAAGTTTAGGAAGTTTATATTTTATTTGTGTTCGTTTTTGTTATCGCCTTCGTTTCAAAATAAAATGGCAAAAACGTGACGTCAGTGGAAACTATTTTTTGGATCCTGGAACACGCGTCAGCCACAAAGCTCCAACCTATAAAGGACTTATTAAAGACTTTCCAAAATACCCTACACTCACATTGATGTGATTTTTCTCAAATGTGTGGCACTATAGATAGCCCACATTCGCTACATAGACGAGATATTTCTGTGACCTGCGATAATATGTTTTTATCTCCATAGCCTTTTCTCAGATTAAGAATGATAACAATGTCTGCCTTTCCTTCAGCGGCCATTTTGGATGACCAGTCTTCATGTGGCCGAGGCGAACGTTTGGCGCTGGCCCTGGCGAGGGAGAACATAAACAATCAGAGGGGAGGTTCCACCCAAGCCAAGGTGGAGGTAGATGTCTACGAGCTCCAGAAGGACTCCCAGTACGACACCACAGACACCAGTAAGTGTCCGGCCTTGCTCTGTTTTCATGCGGATGCAGTCCTCCCACCCAGATGTGGGTGCTCCCTGTGTTGACATTTGCAGTGAAGGTTCACTCCAGCAAGCTCTGCCTGTCCAGGAGCAGTTCAGAAAAATGAGGCATCAAACTTTATTCAGCCCGGCAAGTCAAAAGTGCAGCGGGTGCAAGTAGAGCGTTGTCAGTAAATGAATAGATGTTCAACACACTTACAAAACAGGGACCACACCGCCCTTTAAATAAGGTTAAAGAGACACTCGCAGGAGCTGAAATATGCCATTGGCCCTAAAATCAGCAACAGCATTCCAGCAATCAGTTACAAATGATGTTCTAAACACGGTGTTGAATTGGGAAAGATTGGAAGGGCGTATTGAGTCAAAGGATAAAAATAATTAGTGCCATGATTTCACAGATCTTTTTACAGAAATGTTTCACAGGACCTTCACAATGAACCATTATTCTTCATGGCCCTATGTAACTGAAATGAATGGTTTTTAATACTGGAGGTTAGTCATTCCTGTCTTTATGCTCTTCATAAAAAATAGGTAGGTAAAGAGGGGCTCATACATAAAAATGGAAGTGATTATTGAAATAAGCCAATTTCAAAATGTATTAAGTCATTTCTTTCCTACCTGATCAATCTCAAGGTTATTATTTTTTCCCCTCATTTTCTATTGTGAAGGCAGGCTAGAATAGAGACAAAAAGTAATAAATTAATTAGTTAAAAAAGGAAGAAATCCACATCTCAAAGTTGCCCATCAGTTTGAATCTAACCTTGAACTTGTGAGCTTTCCGCTTCAGCCTTGGCTTGAAGCACAATTCTGATTTTGAGATTACATTGTTTTGTTCTTGAAAGTAGGAATCTCATGTTTTATTGATTTAGCCATTAACTCATTCGCTGCCAAAGACGTCTATAGACGTCTTTTCAAATCCGACCGTTCGCTGCCAAAGACGTCTATAGACGTCTTTTATGTTTTTCAATTGCGAGTGACTTGGGGGACGATCGGCGAAAGTTTTTCCGTAAATATCGGCTTCTAGACAGAGTATGGACTAACAAATTTACCCTCTAGGTAGCTGTGCCACTTTTGATGGGAGATTAGCATAGATTGTAAGCAAATAAAAACAAACGCAATGGTTCGCTATGAGAGAAATGGCGCCGGTGAGACGCACGTCGAAGAAGAACGGAATAAGGTAGAAACAAAATTTTTTTTCCTGATGATAGAAGAGAGTCTCCTCTTTCTTTTGGTGTGTTTGGTGTTTACATAGTCAAAGCACAAACTATTCTGTGGCTCTTGAAAAATCTGTCAAAATTCTCAAATAAACGATAGATGGATTTGTCTGTTTTTCTTCTTTAAGTTTTAGTCCTGTCAATGTAAGATCATTAGAAATCTATTTATCTAATCTCAGCAGAAGTCTTGTTTAAAATCACGTTGGAGGTTTATAACTGTACAATTATCTGTGCGCAGAGGTAACAAGCAGGCCTTGATTAAAGCAGTAAAACAGACACATGAGCAGATGGACCCTGACAGCATTTTACAGATTTAGGGTGCTGAGAAATCATTGAAAAGCGAGGTCACTGTGACCTGAGAAGTTGCAGCATTCTAAATGAGCAGCTGCTCCTGATGTTTATTGATTATGAACTGCCACAGACATGAGGGGAGTTATCCCAAAGTACAGCATTTATGGTCTTCTCTCAAATCAAAGTGCACACACACACACTCATACACACATGCAGTGGAAATGACGCACAGTTGAAAGGCTGATTGCATGGTAAAGAAAAGATTCCATAATTAGGATGCAGTGTCTTTATAGGTCATGTACTAGTGCCAGCTGTTTAATTCAACAGTGACAGAAGGATTTATTTTCTCAATCTTTGTCAAGCTAATGAATTACCAAGGAGGAAGGATGACTTAAAGAATGCTCTGCTTACTTTGTTTTGTCACACCAACTGTCACCCCTCTTGATTGCTCGGACTAAAAAATCAATCTTATCTTAAGCAGACAAGGCAAATAGACAGTTTTGCTGGTTTTGGCTAAAGACAAAAGCTGTTTCTCCTTTTTTGTCACTTTAGTTGGCAGGAGCGTCATCACAGTTCATACTATTCCTCTGCTAACCAACAGCACTGCTATTTTCTGCCGCTATTGCCAAATTCTATTGCTTTGTCAACACAGTTTTCAAAATAGTAGCGCTATCTGACTCATTTGCATAATCCATACACGAGCACAAATGAAGGTCAGGTCCATTTTTATTGTCATTCCAACCATATATATATATTAAACAAAACCGCGTTCCTTCGGGACGTCTATGGTGCAGACAAAAGAACACAGCGCTGGACTGTGCAAGTGAAGAAAAAAATTAAATAAAAAAAAAATCATTAAAGTTTAATACGATCATAAATATGATTAAAATTGGAATAAATGTAATCAAAAGAAAGTGCGGGACTTAGTACAAACAACAGAAACACCAACAGTGCAATGCAGGACAACATAGTGCAGCCAACAATGCAGCTGTAGAAAAAAGAAACCCTAACAGCACTGAGAGGTGAGGGTGGTGATGTAGCTGTTGTCTATAAGCATGCACATCGTATGTAAGGTGCAGCCAAGTTTTTGCAACACTGGTAATCGTCCTCCTTCTCTTTTGCTGTTTCCTTATCTTCTTAGTAGGAATAATGGTTACAGATAGCTTAACATTTACCTTAAAAGAGTATTATTCTAATTATGCCGTGAAACATTTGTGGCAGACTGCAGCAGATAAGACAGAAATGGGCAAAAGTGATTGATACCCTAAAGAGTGGTTCCAGTGTTGCCAGTTTTCTTTATTAAACCCTCAGAGCTGTGATTTAAAAAAAAAAATCCACAAAAAAGATGCTTTATCTGAAAATAAGAACGGATTCTATAAACATATGATAAAGTTCTACATAGTTAAGGCATAAAAGGATGTCGGAGAATAATGCAGTCAATTTCGATTTGGCATTTGTCAGAGGAAAAAAACAAGCACAAAAGTGGCTGCTTAAGGTAAAGAAGGAGATGATAATGATTACCAGCCTGTCGGCAAGCAAAATGTCAAATAACCCCTCAGAGAAATGTCTTCAAATGCCATTTTAACATGAAGTTTAAAACGGTTATAAACTGGGAACTTTTTAAAAGTTAATGACCTATGTGTGATAATCATAGTCTTTGAGCAGCACACATATAATATGTATAACTGAAAAATATTTTCAGTTTTGCGAAGAAAAGCCAAAAGAAGATACCGGCTAAGGAGCTTAAAAGGATCAAGTAATCTTTGGGTGGAGGGGAGAATCTACTTAAGCACTTTGAGATCACAGTAAACAATGTTAAATTAAAAAACGCCTCTACCACCTAGAGAAATAGAAAAAGGCCTTGTTTAAACCTTGTATTCAGTTTTGTATTATTATTATTATTATTAGCATTATAACATGTTTAGAAAAAAAAACAAGGCACAAATTTGGTTTAATCTATCCTATTTCCTTCACTCTGAAGGTTTTTGGCATAAAACTGCTTGGCTGAAGATTGGTGCCGATTTAGCACCACTTCACATGCTCACAAAAACAGTTAGTGATTTAAATGTCTGAGCTTAACTTCTTGTGTCTATCTGTTTTTCCCTCAGTGTGTCAGATCCTTCCAAAGGGTGTGGTTGCAGTCATTGGTCCTGCCTCAAGCCCAGCATCCGGATCAACTATCAGTCACATCTGTGGGGAAAAGGAAGTGAGTCCAATTTAGCCCTGAACTGTCATATGTGAGCAGAAATATCCTCAGGGCCAGCTCAATGTTTCCACAAAGTCCCGAGGTCCTACTTAAGGTATAAATCAGTCTGTAACTCGGTATCAAGGATGGAAAATGTCACCTTCCGAGCAAAAAGTAGAGGAACTCTTCCACTGATGACTAAAAGAAAAACCCATATGTGTGTGTCATTTGAAAGTATCACTATGCAGATTGTGATCAATGACCTCATATAGCTTCTTGTGAGCTGTATATAGAGGTCCAAAAATTAGTCTGTGGAAGTTCAGGTGGTCAGAGATGGACAGGAGTTATAGGATTTAAGTCAAACTAAAATAACAACAAGACGTCTTTGCTGTGATTCATCTGTGGATTACGTGCGCTTTATTTTTATTACTAAAGAAAAGCTCTTTTTGATTGACATTGATTTTACTCAACTAACAGCCAAAATGTACCATGGCTACAATGGCACTAAAAAGCAGAATTATTAGAGCAATTATTATTATTAGAACAATTTCCATCATAGTACCTAAAAATCCAATTATGCTGCGAATTAAAAAACAACGTAAATGCAGGTTACTATTGCTGAACACTTGAAATGTAAGGATTCTTAATTGACTCTAGTGGATCATACCCATGTGCATTACAGAAAATGATTTAATATTTTTAAACAGAGTAGTCTTCACATACACCTCAGATGCACCCGTTTTATTTGAAGACTTGATTACAAATGAGTGTAAATTTATTAAGTAGGTGTTGAGGTGTTTATTAATTTTAAAAATGGTGTCAATCCATTCAGAAAATTCCCATTCATTTGCATTAAATTGTTTCTACCCCGGTGAAATATGATGAGTGTGATTATTAAAGCAGTTGATCTGGAACATAAGCTTGTTAATCGTAACCTGACATCTTCATTAGAGCTGCCGTTGTCACATAGTTGTGTTTTTCTTGGCTGTGACACTGAAACCGTCTTGACAGCTTTGCTTTCAGGCAGCAGTTGTCAAAGTGTTTCGGTTCATTTCCGATGTGAAAATTTTAGCCTTGAAAATGTGCTTGCTTAAGTGAATCAACAGCTGCTCGTCTCTGCCGTCCATTACTCTAAGCCTCCCAACACCCTCCTATCCTCATCCTCCTGCCCGACATATCACATTTAACTGGATTCTTAGCTTGAATTTAAAATAAGCTCTTCGTTCTTCAGAGGCAAATCCAGCTGAGCTAATTACATTTGGCTATTTGAGCCTCTGAAGGTGTGAGTAGAAGTTAAATCACCAAATAGCTGTTCGGGAGAGGGGGTCAGTTTTTCACAGACTTAGTTCCTCCATAACATAGGGGGAATATTTTTTAATTTTGTTTTTGTCCATGTGGATGAAACTCTTTTTACAGTTTGCAATAAAAATGCAAAGTTCATTACTAGAGATAATCTATTCTCCTTCCAACCTTTCACTGAATCAGTGCTGAAATAACTACTGATTAACTCCTTCCATTCCTAAAAAACTGCACCACCTAGGAAACTCATTTCATTTTTTGTGGAATGAGTTGAACTCATTGGCCATTATTTGTGACTGTTGTGTTCTAATAATGATCGTGGTTATGTTTTGTCATTTACAGATATTCTTTTTGAAACTGTCAGAGCCATATTTAAGCTTCAGTTTGTCTTTTTCTTTTTCAAACTATCATTTCAACAATAGTTATGATATTGCAGCTGGAATATTTGAAGGTTGTGTATAAATATTAGTAGATTAATTAATTGTGTTTAATAAAGTCTTATCTTAAATATTACTTTGCAACAGACGGGTTTGCCATTAGTTGTTTTTTGCCATTTATTTTCACTTAAGCACTAACTGTGCAGATATAGTTTGGTAAATGTACTGAATGAGCAACGTGTTTAATGGATCTTCATTTAGTTGGTTTATCTTTAGAAAAATGACACAAATTAAACATGACACAGAGTCATTTGATTAAGATGCAGAACAAAATGTATTTTCTTTTCTTTTTCAAAACAGTGAGACCTCATTTTCACCCTTTTTTTTTAAGCTCAGCGAATACTTCATTTAAGGAATCCTTATAAAAAGGCTTTTAAAACTCATTGAGGGCTTCAGTAATAAAATATAATTCTCTCGCCAGTTTGATTCCAATTTCCTTCTTTACCAATTGGAGCCATTTCATTGATCATTGTTGCCAATTTTCACCATAGATATTCAGTCAGATAGGAATATGGTGTGTTTGTTGACCAGCCCATGAGTTCACATGTTTTTTTAAGTGAAATTTGAATGCTCTTCACTTTAAAGGTCCAACATCCTTTTCTTGTCCAGAATATTATTGTGATTCATCACTAAATACCCCTTTCATCCAATCATCCACAGTGTGGGAAGGCTTCTCTTCCTCCCACTGTAATCTTGTTTCTTTCTGCTTTAGGTCTTAGTGATGCTTTATGTTTGACTTTGTGGATGTAAATCCTATTTCCTTTCAGTGGATTTCATTATATTTTGGTAATAAACACTGATTCCTATTTATCCCTGTGGTCTCTGATTTATTTTCATTTCAAAGGCAGAGTTCAGCTTTGTGTCTTGACACTTGAAAGTTTTATTTGGCCAACTTGTATTTTTCCCTTTCAACTTGCAAAATGTCCACTTAAATTTGTCTTTGGGCATAATCATAGACACAGCTTTGCGTACACTTTGTTAAATGAGCTTTTTGAAGGAATTGTATTATCCTTACCATTGTTTCCACTGACAGCTCCTTGTTGGAGCCTTGTTTCCTGCTTATCAGCCATTATTATTCTCTTATTATTCTCTGTAAACAATGCGTTTAACTTAAGACTAATTTCCATGTAGGCTTTAGATAGTTAGCTGCTTCAGAAATGTGAAACACTGTTGTTTTTCAAATGTCTTTTTTTCTACTGGTATGAAAAAATAATCACTACATTCTGCAATTTCATTTATTTAATCTTAAGTATGTTTTTCAAAGCCAGAACTCTCTGCTTTTGAATTATTTACTCACCTACTTACTGACGATTTCATTTTTTTCTTTTTGTTCCTGTGGTTTTTGAAAGGGGGTTGTATTCTCAAAATATTCCTTTTTATCGCTGGCACGAAGATGAAGAAAATCTCTGTACTGCCTCCCACTTCACTGTCATTTGTCCCTCCAAATCATTCTTCTCCTTTTTCCCGCTTTCTCTCTCTCAGATCCCTCATGTGAAGATCGGCCCCGAAGAAACCCCAAAGCTGCCGTACCTTCGCTTTGCCTCGGTGACGCTCTACCCGAGTAATGAGGACCTGAGCCTGGCCATTGGATCCATCCTGCGCTCCTTCGGCTACCCTACAGCGAGCCTCATCTGTGCCAAAGCAGAGTGTGAGTCTCTGAGCTGTGCGTCTGTATACATTCCATACCACAGCTTTGTATTCACACTGATTCCTGCTTGCAGTGCATTGAAACCCTTTTTTTTTTTTCTTTCTTAGGCTTTGGCTTTGCTCGTGACTTCACGAGCTGAGCTGGAGTCGCTATTTTATTATTCATCCTCCACTTTGCATGTTTTGATTTGAGCAGCGCTGCTTTCCTGGACTTGGCTACGTGTGCGTGCTGAGCGAGTGGATGTGCTGCACCAGTAATTACAGCATGCAGCAAGGAGTTATTTCAAATTCAGGATTTTTTAACAGGATTCACCAGAATATGAAAAATTGAATTTGGGTAATAAAAACAGATTTGCAGGGGCCAATACTCCACAAGATCTGTAACAGGTGCCTGGTTGTATAAGGCAGTAAGACTCCAACAGCAGTGCTTCTTTAAGTCTTTAATTGCACAAGGTGTCAATTGCTCCGCGATTTCCTCCCACACTATAGACTTATTAGCTTATTTACTGATAAGAGTACCTTTTTTTCTTCAATTCGCTATTCAAAGTTTTAGCTTGGCCTCCTCCATTCCTCCTATTTTTCTTTTACCCCTTAAATTGTCATCTCTATCTTTTTCCAGCAAATCGATTCATCCCCTTATCTTCCTCTTCTTCTCTTTTCTTAACTCCAACCTTATCTTTTCCTTTTGTTTTCTCCATTCCCCTGTGATTTGGAAAAAGTTTTTTTTTCTCCATTGATCTCACTCGGTTTTTTCTCCCGCCCGAGCTCACGGTTCCGCCATGCCTCGGCCTTTATTTGTTGCGAGGATGTCAGGATCTAACCGGCATTGTTCAACAGGCCTGTGTGCTGTCATGAACCGTGCTGCTGGTCAGTTAAACCCAGCAGGACCTCCATGAATGTTTTATGGAGGCAATTAGACACGGAACGCCCACTTCATCTGTCAAGGACAGGCATAAAAACAACACAGCGGTTGAAAGACTCCACTGAATTGGTGCCAGCCTAGCAACCTTTACAAATAATTCTCAGGAAGTGCTTTATACCATGATGTTCTTTTGTTTTGACACATATTTTTAATGAATTTATCTGCACAGACCTACAAAGCAATACTTTAAAGATTCATCGTTAGATATTAAGGCTTTAGAGCACAAAATGGACCTATTTGTTGATCAAGCCAATCACTTTATCTGTCCTCCTTTCAATAACTAGGTTACCATTGAATTTTTCTTCTTTCTAATGTCCCTTTTTGTTCTTAAAGAGAGTTTTTTTTCCAATGGCTTTTCATTCAACCACTGAAATTCTTTAAACAGCCTTTCTGTTGTTGGTATAATATTTTTCCCACTGCAAACATTCTGACATTTATTAGAATCTAGCGGATGTTAAATTGAATTTTGTCGTGGTTACAAGATACCACATTTACCATGTAAATTTCTACAAGCTGTTCTCCCCAACATGATTTGTAAGTCTTAGATTACATGCAATGAGACACACATTTGTGTGTAAGTGTGACAATTAAATTCGAGTCAATTATCAGTAGAAAATGTCCTTAGTGTGTACAGAAGTCCATTCACGCCATATTGAGACAAGGTCAGGTAAAATGAAACACTATATTTTTTAATCTGAGTTAAACTAACCGCAAGATAAGTCTATCTAAAAAGTATATCTGTTTACAGCTGTTCAGAGACATAGGATCAAATCTCTATTTCTGAAGAAACAAGTAAATGGCCTTTGAGCATGATCTCATTCATCCCAGTCTGTTTATTACCTCTTTTAAGGATCTGAAGAAGTTATTTTTCACTCTAATGACTCTGAGCCCCATCAATTTCTGAAACTTTCTTCTTTTTGCTTGTGGGAGTAAGAATTTAACCGGCCCATAAGTTAAATAACCAGATGAGGGTAATTTGTTTATTCTCCCTCTCGGCCTCACAGTATCTGATCCTGACAGCCACTTTGCTGAGTGAATTTTTTTTTTCTTCTCAGCACCAGAATGATGAAAAACGTTGAACTTTTGGGCTAAATGGGGCTCATATTTCACCCCGCCATGTTTGAGAGAGGCAGCCACATTTCCCATTCAGTCAAACAGTTACATTATTCACACTCCTCTCTGGCTCTTTAGGCCTGCTGCGATTAGAGGAGCTGGTTCGACACTTCCTCATCTCCAGGGAGACGCTGTCTGTGCGGATGCTTGACGACAGTCTGGATCCCACCCCCTTGCTAAAGGAGATCCGCGATGATAAAGTGGCGACTATCATCATCGACGCCAACGCCTCCATCTCCTACCACATTCTCAGAAAGGTGAGAACGCACAGCAATTTAACTTTTTGTGTTAAATGTCTGCTGTTGTTCTTGTTTGTACCTATTTCATATTGCATTGCCAAAGTTTCCATATGAAAGCAGATTATTGTAAAAACTTTTCCATAATCTAAGGAGATAAAAACATCAAATTAGGCAATTAGTTGTGATTAATGTGCGTTCTATAAAGCTTGATGGTGGTTAGAGCATCACTGGACTGCCTGAGTAAGGTTTAAATCCTCAGTCCCATGACTGGAGCATATTAATTTTCTTCTAAACTCTTAGAACAAAAATTTAGTAAAAATGGTTCCTAAGTGCAATCATATGGAAAGTACCAAAACCAAAGTATAGATTTGATAAAAACAAATAATATTCACCTGAGAAAATTAATTAAAGCTTATTTCTTATGTTTGACTATCAGCATTTTCTCACATCACAGACCACATAATCTGAATATACTCCTTACATACAAAGTGATCCTTTTCATTCACTCTCGTGTAACGTGCCAGTCCTGCATTATAATGGAAGGAGGATCTGCAATACAAAGAAATATCAGGGGGATTGAAAGCCATTTAACTAAGGAGAAATTGTGCCCATTCAAAAGGAAAATGTAATGTAATTAGAGTTGAGGGAAATTGTTTAAAGCAATTTCTGCTCGAAAACTTCTTGTTTTTGCACCTGAAAAAGCAACTGGAAAGCTGTTATCTAGCTGGAATGGTCAGCCACTGTGTAATTCATTATAGTAGAGCAAAACCCTGAGAATGAATAACAAATGACTTGTTTTGCCTCATAAAATGCTCTCAGATTATGGACAATAATAATCACATGCAAATGAGAGATTGTATCCAGACCTCTGAAATGAATAATCAGTCGACCTTCTGATGTTATCACGCCAGCTGCGACACCAATAAGGGCCTGGATCACATTCATCTTCATACTTTGACCTTTCGAACACAATCTGTCAGTAGCCAGTTACAGTCACAACCACGTTCTTGGTGCATTAATTGACTCCCGAACAACTTTTTGCCAAGATTCCCCACTCAAACGCAGACACATGCACAGACATCCTCACAAGGTGAAAACAATACCACCTACACTGTCACAGATGGGATGTAATTAACTGTGTGATGTGTCACTCTGTAAATAAACCCACGGGATCCTAAGTATTCCAATGTGGGCATTAGAGGCTCAATCTTATATCTTATTTATCACAATCATCTTTAACTTGCATTTGATTGTTCGGTGAAAGGTATAAGAAGAAAATTGTGAGTGTCATTATATACCTTGGGTTTCTGCAGTGATTGGCTCCTCCACAGGGACTGTGGCCAGTATAGGGTGGAAAAAAGTCAGGTTTCCTGCTGACCTGACCAATAGCTTTTTTTCCTCTCGAAATTCTTTGGATTCGACTAATCGGAGAGATTTTTCTGATGTCTGAGTAATTCTTTGCTAACCGTGTGGTGGTTCTTTTTGCCCCTGAAAAGCACAGGTTGTGCAGGCAAACTGAAGGAGACAGAAGCTCACAGTGTGTGTGCAAGGTTAATGGATTAATAAAACAACTTGTCCGCAGGATTTTCAGCGTGAAACTGTCAGCTTAAATCACCACTGACAATGAACATTTGTAGTGGGAGAGCTCTCCTGTCAGATCTTGGATGTGAGAAATGACCAAATAAATAGAAGACGGCTATTCAGAATGACAGACTGAACAGTTCGCTGCGGCAAACCTGCTGTGAGAAGCCTCATGTGTGCGTCAGAACGTTCCCTGATTTGACTACCCAGCCACTTAGCAATTATAACCCATACATCTGCTGAACATTCAGTTTTGTGCCCAAATAAAACTGAGGTATTGAGACATCCTTTCACCTTCTCAGTTCAGGCACACCAAGCCCCTTTCACCTGGTATTGTCCTCCTCATTATTATTTCTCTCATTTCAACCACAATTCTCAGGTTTTTAATGTTAAAAGCATGGCAGGTTGTCACATTAATGGATTCAGTGGAGAAAGGGTGGGGAACTTCAAGCATATTCTTTATTTAATACACGGGGTTTCAAAATACAGACTCCTGTCTCATCTTCCTTTTCCCTCCTCTTTCTTGTTACCTGAAGGCAAACGAGCTTGGGATGACATCGGCCTTCTATAAGTACATCCTCACCACCATGGTAAGTCGTGTTTTCTTGTTTCTTGCACATTTCCCGAATTTGTGAACTCATATTTTCACCTAATTCGGTCTTGCTTTACTGTATTTCAGTTTATTTCCTTGTTTCCAATTCAAACGACTTCTGTCCATCTTTTCTTCTTTCCCCAAATTTGATCTCTATGCTTTCTTTTCTGTAGTGTTTCTCTTAACCTAAATTTGTCCCACTCCTTTAACCAGGCCTTTGATGTTTAATGATCCGCTATGTTTATTTGATCTGGTCATTTGCTTTCTTTCCTTCATAGCTTGTTACACTTTGTATCCAGTTCTCTGTGCTTTTTAGGTTTTGTTCTTTCCTCTCTTCTGAACATTCATAACATATATCTATCTTTTTCCCACATCTTTCATACCTCTGAGGGTTTGGCATCATAAAAATGAAGCATTTATATACATTACCCGCTCTGTTCCCATAACTCTCCTCTTCCTTTCCATCAGTGATGCATGCTGGTCTTGTTGCAATTTGTCATCATTATGATTTTACTGTTTGGTGTACTGCCCTTGTACCAAAAGGTTGTATACATAATAACTCGTCGTCAGCTCTGCTTTGACTCCGAACACCGCCGTGTCACCGGCTTTAACGGGGCTAACAAACCAAGGGCAAAATTGTCATTCAACCTTTCTGCAAGAAAACCTTGGAAAGGGACCAAAAGAAAAATTATTCCGCCACTTCACCACTTCCACACTCATTCATTCACAGCCATCTTTGACCTACCTTTAACTTTGAATTGAAAATGCTCCGTGGACTGTGAAAGAAGTGTACTTCAGCCCTCTGTGTCCATCTTCCAAGGACTGAACTATAGCTATCCACAGTCACAACTGGCAGGCTGTTTAGCAATTAGCAGGAGAGAACAGGAAGTTAAGAGTAAGCTTAGAGGAGCAGCTCCTGAAATAGATGGAGACATCCATGGAAATGATCCTGTCAGCGTGTACAGCAGCACAGTGGTTGATGTGAACACAGGACGGGCATTTTGTGATATCTAATTTGAAATCTTAAAGTGATAAAAATGGCTGTTTTTCTTACTGCGCTTGAATGCTGAGATTGACTTATTCTTTCATAGAAATATTGGCAGGCTTTTCATTTATTCAAATGGCTGCCAGTTCAGCTGTAGACTGGGTTTGTTTTCTAGCTGCATGAACACTGAAAAGGCCGTACGTAATGGTGATCTGTATAGGGGCTCAAAAACAATTTGTTGCCCCACTGCCTCTGAGGAGGTTAATCTTGGCATGTAGGTCAATAGCACAGAATGACTTTAGGACACGAAGTGAGCTTCAAAAGCCAAGACTCTTATAGTTTAGGCGAAGTAATGAGGAAGTTGTACGTATTGATTTCCCATTTATAATACTGATATAAAGCTCACAGGGAAGGGAACAACCTAAGTCTTAGTCAGTGCTCCTAAAAACTCATTTCAATCTTAAAAATTCTGTAACTTCTGCAGTTTTGCCTCACAGTTTAGCACAAAGAGCACGTCCAGCTCTGAATGGCTGCTGAAAATATGCTTCTCTTCCAAATGAACCTCGGGTGTAAAGTGTGCCGCAGCCACATCGTCGGCGGTGTCCTTCTGGAATTCTGTCGCAGTGTTTCTTCCCTCAGCAGTGTTGGCCTGCTCCCTGCAACCCCGGCCAGCCAACTGCTCTTTGTCAGTGCTGGCAGGCTAAAAGTCTGACAGCCGGCCTGGCTGCTGCTGAAATTGATTTGGCATCCAGTGAGTGTAACAGAAACAATAACGGCAACAGTTTCCCCACAGGCTGGGACAATATTAAGAAAATAAGCGAGACCGCGACTTCAGGGAAAAGGATATTAACCTCACTCTCAGGTTGGCATCAGCATCTGGGCAGATAGGGCTCCAAAACCTAAATATTCCAATATATTTAGCTTATGTGTACACATTTGGGGTTTGATGCTAATTTAACGAAATTAACATCCCTCCTCTCCAAATACTTCCGGTTCTCAAAAGAGACTAAATCTGCAGGCTGAATGGATACAGTGCCAACAATAATGAATAATGTTGGTCTGTCCAACACAGACGGACAAGGATGTTTTTCTGTTTTACTTTTTCAAGGATGAAAGAACAAAATGGAAATTTGCATTAACAAAGAACAAAATAAACATTAAAGCCACATCCATACAGTCAGAAACAGAGGACAAAATTTAATGTATGAAGGTCTCAGATGCTTGTTTACCTTCGTTTTATTTATGTTAAACTTCCCCTGCTTGAAAGTTAGATTCAGTTTAGATAATCCATTTTATGCATTTAGGTTTGCACTGCATACTGTTTGTATGCACTGATTACAAAAAGACAATGTCTCGTCATCTTCAGCCTGTGTTTCTTCTGAGCCGCAGTCCCCTGTTAGTCATTTTATCGGCATGATCTGAAACCCAGTGAGGATATCGAGGAAAAAGAATCAAAGAATTTTGGTCTGAAAAAACTTTATGTAACTTGACTTGCTTTAAATGAAGGACAAGATCTCTGAGAAATGATGTTCTCAGATCAGCTGCTTTTTCAGTCACTCAATCAGGAGCATCTGATGAAATAGATTCGCCCCCGTAATCATCAGTCCAACTGTCTACTTAGGCTTATAGTTTTACCAAGTTGTAGGCGAATATTTCATTTTGCATTAATGCAAGAAATATTAAAGGGAAAGACTAAATTGCTGTCGGTCAGTTGTTACATCATGACAGACAGGGTGTTACTTTATCAACTCAGTGATTTGTGCACTCATTCTGAACTCTGTAGTTCTCTGGCATATCACATGTAGAATTAAGTGAATGGCTTCAACTATTTAAATGCAATAAATGGACAAGCGCTGTTTAGGAGAATGTGGGAGCCGCAATCTGTGCCATACTCAGGCTGAACTACCACAATGAATAAATTACCACTGTGGAGTATTTTTTTTCCAAATCTAAATGACGCAACAATGTGTCAGAGCAAAAACCGAAGGCCTGGGATTGTGTATTTTTGAATGAAAAATGAGCTTCGTTGAATTTCAACAGTTATTTCAGAAGATTTAAGTTAGTCATAGAGTTGCAGTTGAACTCTTTGCAGACTGAAAAATTAAGACCCCTGAACTTTTCAGGGTATTTCTTAACAGGTGCATCTTTTTCCATTGCATCGATCCAAATAAGTTAATGTCGTACAAGCCTAACACAAATACATATCGGTTCTAGTCCAACTCGACTAAAAAAGGTCCAACTGAAAATACTTTTTTCCCTCCATCTTAGTAGAAAGCATCCTTAAACAAATGAGCTGGAGCCAATTTGTGGTTCAGGGATGCTGTGATTGTAGTGATCATTTAAATGGGAGATGATAAGCCCGACTCCAGCTGATCCAGACAGACAGGAAATCAACAGGCGAAGTGCTCGGGCTACCTGTCTCCAGCCTCCATCCCTCACAACTTGGACTAAATGCATCATTGTCAGTATCTGCTGCTGAACACAAATCCTGTGAGGGCAAAAAAACAGTTTGATTGTGGTTTGTTTCAGCAGCAGAGCTCAGCGTGACATCAACTTGCCTTCAAGGACTATTTGAAGTTCTTTGAAATTCCCAAGCCTTTTGATGTCCATCATTTTTTCTTCTCCCTGCACTACCCTGCTGTGAATTTTAAAATTGAACTCAACATTGTGCTGCCTGCTAAAGAATACCCCGATCAGGTCTTTCACTTGTTTCTCTCGTCTTCTTCCTTTCCCTCCGTTCGCATCTGTCAGTCGTTTTAGGTTTTCTCGGTTGCTGTTCTCATAAGTGGTACCTGCCAACGCACATCACACACGATGCCTACTTTTTTCACACACCTCCTTGTTCTTTCTCCCTTTCGTTTGGTCTGTCATCAGGATTTCCCTCTGCTCCGGCTGGATGACGTAGTGGATGACCAGTCCAACATCCTGGGCTTCTCCATGCTGAACAGGAGCCACCCCTTTTACTTGGAGTTCATCAGGAGCCTCAACCTGTCCTGGAGGGAAGGCTGTGATGTCAGCCCATACCCAGGCCCAGCGGTAAGAGCCAGACACGTAAATGTTCTTTCTGGGGTTAACAAGCTCCAAATACATCACAATACATAAATAAAGAATGAAAAGGGTGACGTCAACAAAAAAACGACTGATTTCAATGTTAGCAGATGCCTTTAAGTACAAATTTTCCCAAATTTCAGCCTGATGCTCTCAAATTTGATCATCTATGCCCAGATTTTACTTTATCACTCAGGAAATAATTTATCCGCAGTGCAGTTTGTTTATAAAAAACAGATTTTCCAAATGGAAGGAAACCACTCGGTTTTGATGGCATGTATTTTTTGGGGAGTTAAAACTAAACTTCACAGCAATGCCCCTTAAATAAATACCTGCTGAAATAGTTGATTAGCATCAGTTCAGGTTTAAACACACATAGACACGCACAGCTTTTGTGCTTTACTTATATTATTTAGATAAGCAGCATTCTAATTTTCCTTTTGTTGTGATGTGACCTCAATCTACAAGAAATGATTCTAGATTGTTAAAGAGATGAATAAATCTTATGGAAGTTTGCAGTTTATCCCAAAACTTAATTTTAGATGAAAAGGTAAACAGAGAGTCAACAGAGCAACAGCTTTACATTTTTAAAAGTTCAAGGTCTGAATGCACGTTATCTCTGTCGGTCCCCTCCTCCATAATTAATACATCCATCAGGGTTTATCTATTCCTTCAGAGCTGTTTGTTTCATTTCCAGCTCTGATATCAAGAAAAGGATTACGCCGCCTTTAATAAAGATAATAACCATGACACATATATCAATCACTGAAAGCAACATTATTACCGCGGAGAAGTTTCCCCTGAGGCTTTTTTAAAACTAATTTTTATCATTTTATGGTGTTCAAGAGAATCCAGGACTTATAAAAAACTGGTATTTAATTATAATGAACTTTATATTCGAATGCATATCGAGATTACTTTATGATTAGATCTTGAGTTTCAGTCAGAAAATTGGTGACTAATAATTGTCTCTTTAGTCAGAATTTCCTTAGAAGGATGCTTGTCTTATTTCATGTTAGAAATTATGCATAAAAACAACAAATTAAACCATCCGTTGTCTTGTTGTTCATTGTCTTTTTTTTTTTGGTTTAGTTTTTATTTCCATTTAGTCAAATTCACAAGAAGTTTTGAGTCTGGTTTTGTATATTTTAGGATGTTTTCTTGTTACACTGATCTCTGAGAGTCACTTCCTTAACTATGTTGTTATCTTAAGTTGTGGTCTTAAATGATTATTACATTATTTCGGCAAGAGATAAGCCACAATCTCAAAATCTCAGAATTTGCTTTGAGTGTAAAGTTACTTGAAGGTGACATAAACTAGTGGAAACAGCTGGACCAGACAGACAGACTGGTGGAAGCCGCCAATTATTTTTCACTCTCTGGGCATATGTGTTCTCTCATCCATCTTTTCTCTGTTCAAACTGTAATTAGTCATCGTCATTCAGCCTTAAAACGATCGACTCATTGAGGACTCCAATCCCACTCATGCATCCATCTTTTTTATCAGCCTTAGACAGGTTGCGCAGGTGTGGATCTATCTCATTTATCTGATTCCCTGAGAGTGTCTGACTGACAACTGACCGAATGGATCAGAACATTAGACTCTGATAGGATCAGTGAGCTCGATGTGCTGAACGCTGATATCGGAAGTGCTTCATTTGAGTTTTTCATTTTTAAGCTCTCATAATCACGTTTCTCTTAACTGTAAAGCACCCATGCCCATTTTTATCTCCTTTTATCTAGTTATTGGTGTCTTTCGTCTGAAAGAGCTCTGCAAAAAGTCAACCACAGCTGAATTGAACAATATGAACAATCTATGCTTTTTTCTTTTAAGAATTCAATTAGTTGGTTCTCTATTTTTGGAAAAGTAGCCGTCCATAGTGAGTCATTTTGGATGTGGGGAGTTGGAGGTGATTTTTGGACTAGAACTGTGCCGCATTTCCCAAAAACAAGTTTCCTGTAACCTAAGTTTGACTTTTGACAAACTGCTTTAAATGTAAGTAATTTGCTGTTTCTCTCCCCCAATGCCTAGCTGTCATCAGCCCTGATGTTCGACGCCGTGCACGTGGTGGTAGGCGCTGTGCAGGAGCTGAACCGCAGTCAGGAGATTGGAGTGAAGCCGCTGAGCTGCACCTCCCCGCTCATCTGGCAGCATGGAACCAGCCTCATGAACTACCTACGCATGGTAAAACACGTGTCACTTCATTCAAAGCCTTATTCAGACACATAGGAGTCACACCAAGTATGTAGCAACATGTTCCAGATTAAAATAATTTACCAGGAGCAAACAGAAATATTTAACAATCACATCGATTGCCTGATGGCTCTTGCAAAGTGGGTCATTATGGAAAGATGTTAAAATAAGAAAAAATCCAAGCACTATTACATAAAGATGTCAGCCAATAGTGGCTTTTAGAGGGGCAAAATGTCAGTTATTTTTCATTTGATTTTTCTGAGTTAATTACATTTCCCCGACAGGACTTTGCTTCAAAACAAACAAATGTGTTACTGCAAGTATTGGCGTTAAACTGCAAGAGTTTGTCTCAGTGACCAACTCTCCCATGGCCACATTTAAAAAGAGATACTACATTTAATTGTTCCATAATCTGTAATAAAGTGTGAGGTCTGAATCATATAGTAACAAATAAATATAACTTGAAATGTATTCAAACAAGCTCTAAAAGCTAGCTATTGCCCTCCTACCAGTAGTTGTATTGACAATTAATATGAATCTGTGTTTTTTCTGTACACTTAAACAAGGAATATTGGCTGTGTTGACTGAAGCCCCATCCAAATGCAGCTGGATGCTGAAAAATAGATAAACAAATCTGTGCTTATATAAAAGAATCCAACAGATTTTAAATGAATCCAAATTGATTCTATTTCACTTGAGCTCAAATTATTCCATTTGACTTTCATTCAAGTCGAGTTCATTTAACTAAAGTTAAGTTAAATTAAGTTCTATTCAATAATTATTCAAACGTTATTGAAATATCAGTCAGTACAATCCTGTGGCTGCTTCTCAGCGGGCTTTTTGCAGCGTGATGTGTTCTATATGGGAGTTTTGGAGGTCTGAGACATAATCTATAGCTTTATAATTTGATACATACAGCAGTTCAGAGCAGAACTGACTATCTTATTACACCATTGCAGGGAGGAGTGGTGTATTCTCTTTCTATATTTATTTTTCTGGCATATATCTCTTTTGTTCTCCCTTAATTTCATATATATTTGATTTATTCTCAGCTTCTCCTTCGCTGTTTGTGTCTGTCTGCCACTTTGTGTTTTTGCCATCCACTGATGATGCCTCTCCCCTCCATGTTGTTTTTGTAGCTCACAGTGCATCACTTCATCATATCTGCACTGTGTTTGGCAGCAACCAGGGACCTCTTTCCCTTTCTCTGTCTCTCCTGCTTCACTGTTTTTGGAATGTAATTCATCTTGAGTCATGCACACACGCACTCTCATTCATACTGTACGTGCACTCGATTACTCATAACTCACACAAATTCGGGAACGAAATGCATGCTGAATTATATCACACAGGTTACCCACTCATTTGCACATTCCAGCAGACAAACATATTCTAGGAGTTCTGTCACTGATCTAACAAAACTGTTGGTTTCTCCATTTCTATTGTCATGATGCGCTTTTTTTGTTTGTGTGTCTTAATGTTTTGGTCTTTTTATCTGCCTCTCTGAATTTGTGAATCAATGCCTTTTTTCCAGATGAAACATGAAATGTTTACTGGAGTAACTAAGATGAGACATTCCAGCTAGTTTACATCAAAGAGTCTGAATGATATGTCCTCCACGTTTAGCACCAGAGTGACTTCTATAGCTTTTGAGCTAATTGCTACCATGCTGGCCAACCAGGGAAAATGCCAGCATGAATTAGTATCAGTTGCTCTTTGTGCTTCAAGCTGTAGTGTGGTGTGCTTAACAAGTTAACAAGCACACAAAGCTCAGAGCAGCTAACAAGCCTCCTTTGTTTTGGACTCTCCAGGAAACCGTTTCAGTTTAGTTAATCCTAGCTCTGCCAAAACAGATTGCCTTGACTCAAGATGCAGGCTTGCAGTGAAATAACTCTGGCTTACATGCTGAGGCAAACTGGACATGGCAGCAATTGTTTACAAAAATTAGATCTTTTTTATTTCAAATCCTGGCCTGCCTTGAATATAATATCCAGTTTATATAATGTGACCCATGCACTTAAGCCAGGGTCACATAGTGGTTTGTATTTAAGTAAACTAAGTATCTTTCTCACTCAATTTGTCAGATTTTTGCTCAGCAATAGCCCGAGAATTTCACAGAAACATCTGTGGAATGTTTTGGGGAAAACTGCTTTCTTTTGAACCCATCATTTTCTTTATTTTGTATTTAGTATCTTGTCGCAAATACAGTAGATTTTCAATGTAAATGAATAGGAAAGATATGGACAGTGTTTTATCAGTACTGTGCAAAAATATTGAAAAAGAGCTGCTTACATGTCTGATACATGTCTGTAACACACACTACAACGATGACAAATGAAATAAAGTGAATCAGATTCATCCTTACGACGCAGCTTGATGCATTCAAGCTGAGCAAGGAAGATGGAACATTTTAGTTCATTTGGACTTCATTGCAGTAAAAAAAAAATAATTTTGACATTGCAGCAACAGATTTAAAGCTTTTTTTGCATGACCTCTCCTATTTCTGAATGTTAAGGTCCATGTATGTATTAGGTTGAGGAGAAACACTAATTAGCTCATTGGATGTGTAACTATGATTATTAATGGATCTAAGTTTAATTGTGGGTAAGAGCCCCTGAGCTAACACCAGTTCTTTCTTCAGGTGGAGTACGATGGCCTGACGGGTCACATTGAGTTCAACAGCAAAGGACAGAGGACCAATTACACCCTGAAAATCCTGGAGAAACACCCTGCAGGCCATAAAGAGGTCAGAGGACAATCATGGTCATGTCGGAGGCTGATGGAACAGATATTAAGTTGAAGCTAATTTGTTCAGAAAGGGAAGCGCCATGTACAGTACAGGAATGAGGGACGTGATAATGTGACCACAGAGTGCAGTCAACTCCAAACAGTTAAGGTGGGACTCCTGTCTCTCCTACAGGGAATTTAGGTCATGTCAGTCCTATGTGCTGTAGTGGCTTCAGCCTTAGAAACCCTACAATTTGTCTGTATATCAGTTTAATCAGAGTGTGTCTTTAGGCCAAGTGCTGGTTTATGATATCATAGTACATCAGAGATTGGTGGTCAACATAGGGTCACATGCCTACAAAGTTTTTGGGTAGTAGTAACTCTGTCTACATTTTCACTGTGCTTTGAACACAGATAGTGACTTTAGTTTATCTCTGGCAAAAGTATTGCTTTGGCCCTGTTTTCTTTATCACAGACTTCTGTTATTTCTTCTCGTACCAGTTAGGAGTACTAAAAGCTAAGCAGCGGCTTAAAAAATGTACTGATTTATTTCTATCTTGGACTGTTCACTAATGATAATACATTTATTTACTTGTAAAGAATTTACAGTGGAAATGTTCAGATGAATCATCTATAGAATGTAATCTGTTCTGCCTAAGAATAAATAAGACTCAGAAGAGAGAGACATAAAAATTCCCAGTCAGGGACTTTGCAGTAATAGTTTTTTACATTTAAAATCAGCTTTGAATTATGGCGAAAGAAAACTCTTCTGAAGTGCTTGTTTCACCTTGTCTAGAGCTTTTTTGATGAAATCAAAGATACCCTTCCAAATTCTGATCTCACGAGGAAAACCTATACTGACATCACATGAACAAATGAGAAAAGGGTGAATTAATTGATCTTGAAATACGTTTTACAATAGATTAAGTGATAAGATTTAAATATTGGATCTATTTGTTGGCCCAGGGTAAAAAATGTATTTAAATAATACTGTAAAACAAGATTGATCATTAATAATATATCAATGATTAATTGATAATTAATTTGCTTTAAATTGATGGTAAAAATCCTCTTTGGTAATGCATTAAGAAGATTTTTCTTAAAGAATATTTTTGGAAAGTAGAGGTGAAAGAGTTCACATGAGGGAATAGAGGACTTGAGGATTTTGATGTGTTCTCAGAATGCAGTGGTGGAAAGGAACGTCCAGGGTAACGTCTGGCCCTTCTCTTCATCACCAGCTCCCTGTGGGCGATAGACCAGTAACCCAAAAACAAAAAATGAATTTGCAGCAAATGAAGGGTCAGCAGTGTCATTATTTTAGAGCACATGGTGAGGTCGGGGTCAAATCGGTACATAAAGGCATGAATGAGTGCTGCTGTTAAACCAGCACAATAAGACAGAAAATGCCAGAATCCTCTGCATTGATTTAAGTCATCAGTTTAGCTTGGAGCATTATTCAGGCTCCTCAGCCTGCTTTCACAAGACTTTTCCCACTAGCTTTTGTGTGCCTTCATCTTTCTTTTACCTCCTCTATGATCTCTGACTCTGAATTTCCTCTTCATCTCCTCCCACTTGTCTCCATTGTCTACCTCCACTATTTGAGAATTTTTGACTTCACAAAGTCAAACTTTAAAATAGAGGTAAAAAAATGTACAGCAATCACACTGTATAAAGACATGGGATCTGTCTCTTTTCAGTAGCGTAGTCTCCGAGGAATCTGTGAACCCGTAGGTTCAGGTTAGGTTAAGTCTGCAACTTCTCCCGCCTCAGAAGATAATGCCAGACAGATATCCTTTCATGACTCTTCAGGGACGAAAAGGGCTTGAACGTAGTTGCAGTAACTCTGCATTTCCTCCGATTTGCAACAATTGAATACAACTGGAGAATTTGATTAACTAAGAAAAGGTCATTCTTGCAATCTTGAAAAGCTGATTCTATTTATTTTTTCTATGCTTCTTTTATTGCAAACTGTCCTGACCCTTCTTCTTCTTCTCTCTTTAAATCAACTTTTCTCCTAATTCCTCTCTTTCTGCCACAGATTGGAACTTGGTATTCCAACAACACATTGGCCATGAACTCCACTTCTCTGGACCTCAATGCATCAGAGACACTTGCTAACAAGACCTTAATCGTCACCACAATCCTGGTAACACACACACAGAATGAAAAAAGAGAGCGGAACACGTGCAAAGCGACTTGCAATATTAGGGTTTCTGCTCCTCTTCTAATGAGCTAAATCCTATGTGTTGTTATATGCTCCATGGCAGGAAAACCCTTACGTGATGCGCAAGTCCAACTACCAAGACTTCCAGGGTAACGATCAATACGAGGGTTTCTGTGTCGACATGTTGCGAGAGCTGGCGGACAGCCTGAAGTTCTCCTTTAAGATCAAGCTGGTTGATGACGGCCTGTACGGAGCCCCCGAGCCCAACGGCAGCTGGACGGGCATGGTGGGAGAGCTAATCAACAGGGTGAGTGGAGGGGGTTATTCCAGGCATTGCAATCACGGACTGCTTCTATCATAAACTTTCTTATTCCATTTTGTTTCATGGCCGAATGTTCTGCATCAGAAACTTTAGCTCATGAAGGAACATCAGGTTCATATTTATGGTTTATTATAAGTACTCAAAGGCAATCTTTTGTGTGTTTGAACACTCCTCTTGTGCATTAGAACACTGATAAAAGACAAAAACGTTGACAACGTAAAAAAAAAAAAAAAACTGTTAATAAAGATATAAAAAGGCAAAAAGTAAACAAAGAAATTTAAATCAAATACATCACAAAAAAACTGCTAAAGTGCATTCATTATTGATTAATGGCTATTTGCCATTACTTTGTTTATATTGTTTTGTTTCTGTGGTGATCTATTCCGTAAATTTAAAAGTAAAACAAAAAAAAACAAAAGAAAGATAATACATTAAATAAATGTCATTATTTTCGTCCAAAATACATTTATACATTTATGCATTTAGCAGATACTTTTATCCAAAGCGACTTAAAAAGAGGGTTTAACATTAATCTACAACACCAGTTAAATTCACATGAAGTCACCTTAATAAGGGAAGTAATAAATAAATCCTTTTCGGATGTGCTAAACTCTCTTTTGCAGTTTCCAACTCTGTTGCTGCTTTTTTCTTTTGGACAACTGCTGTGATAAAAAACACATTCATAAAAAAGTAAAAACCCTCAACACAACTTTAACTTTGACTATATGATGGCCAGTGTTGGGTAAGTTACTTTAAAAATGTAATCCGTTACAGTTACAAGTTACCTAATGTAATTGTAGTGTAACTTTTTCGATTACTTTAAAAAAGTAATGTAACTAATTACTTTTGATTACTTTTTGATTACTTTAAGGTTTTAATGAGTATTAACCCATGATTAATTTTAGCATGTTATTATTAGCTATTGGCCGCAGCTAGAAGTTCAAGGCTAACGTCTTGTTAATGATCATAAACAACGTAAATAAATACATAAATAAATCGGAGACAAGGGGCACAGCGACGGCAGGTCAGTCGTATCCGGATACAACATTTTAGTATCTATACTTTTTTAAGTATCGATACTTTTGACAACCCTAGTCTGAAATGTAGGACATGTCCGGGAAAAAGAGGACGTCTGGTCACCCTACAGTTGGGTAGGCTAGGTAGGCTAGGCTAGGCTAGGTCATAGACATCGATAAACGTTTGTCATGCATCAACACCAAACAGTCAAATATTAGTAAATCAATATGCTTCGTCTATCAGTGAGTTGCATATTTTGCAAAGGTTTTTCTTTATATTTTTAAAAAAATTTAACTAAATTTGTAATTCTTAATATTTTCAGAAGTAACTGTAACTCAATTACATATTTTCTCATTGTAACTGTAACCAATTACAGTTACTCTTTTTTTGTAATTAAATTACGTAACGTCGTTACATGTAATCCGTTACTCCCCAACACTGATGATGGCTCACCTGATGTAAACCAGAACAGACCGCAGCACCCACAAACCCCTAAATGGTAAAAGGTGATGACTGGAGAGAAACAAACAAATGATCTGAGGTCTGAGCAGCTGAAGATGATGCAAACATCAGGTATGCAGCTGAGACAGGAAAAAGATCAAATAATGTCATCACTCGTCTCATCCTTCATCAAGTTCACATATTTCACATTCAAAACAAGTAAACATGACCTAGCTACCCAAAAGGGGCTCAAAATCAGTAGCATTCCGAGTTGATTTGTCCATCATTGTCTCTGCACCGGTTGCTATGGTGACAGACAAGGGTCAGCGGGTCAGGGATGCAAGTTGTTGGCTCTGGGTTGCTGACAGTGATACCACCCTAACCGGAATACAAGCATCAGCCAATTATACAAGTGGTGAAGCGTTAGAAGGCTGCTCAGCCCTGGGCAGCGGGGACACAGAGACGCTGAGAACGTATTAAGTGGCTCAGCTGAAGCCCAATTTCCCCCGTTAGTTGTTTTCTCAGCAAAAGTGGCTCATTGTAAGTCAAGTTGAGTCTAATTAAAGCTGCGGAGAATTGCCAGCGATGAAAGTGCAGAAGGAAGTAAAGACAATAAGGAGAGGCATCTGTAAGTGTGTTTGCTCTTAATGTGTGTCAGCATGTGTGTCCTTTGAATTTTTAGGCTTCTCATAATCCATTAACAGGCATTATTCCAATGTGAAAACATCAATGCAAAATTGGAAACCACAGCACTGAGGTTCCAAACTTTTTTTTTTTTTGGTCTCTGGTCCCCCTTTTTTCCTTTTCCAACCCTAACCCATGAAGGCATGACTCTATGGCACCTTTAAAGGTGTGCCATGGTATGCCAGTACCAGGTTCATGAGTGCTGTAAACTCCCATTGATCAGAGCTGCCTGAACACCACATCCTGAAAATGCATGCTAGGACTTCGATGTGGAAATATGATATCTAACTCAACTGTTTACACTCTATTTGTACTACAAAAAATGTCTTTAGCTACGTTATAGCTGTGATGTGTGGCATGGCGCACTGGTTTGATGGCACTAAAAAAAGGTGTATTAAAAGGTGGTGCTTTATTGGGAAAAGTAGCTGTTTATGTTGAGTTTTGTTGATTTATTCATAGAAACACCCACTTAAGTGGTAAAAACCAAGGTTTGCAGGACACTGTCCAAAGGTCCCACTTCCTAAGCTAGTTCTTAAACTCGGTCCCGTTGTGAGAGGAAAGTCATTTATCACATTAAGTGTTTTCGGCAGTGCAGGCGGTTCAGCCTGGGCACCTGACCGGTCTGCAGCTGCCTGCAACCAAACGTTGTGCCACCATTGCTGTTTTTCAGTGATTCTAGCCAAAGATACCCTTCTATTTGACTGGACAACAGATTCTCTTTCGCTTGGCGCTGACCAGAGCATACCAGAAGCTGCAATTTTTGATATGCTCTTATCCAGCTGCCCAGCTAACACAGTTTGAGCCATGTGAAAATGGCTTATTCTTCTTCCAAAACATCAACTTCAAGGACAGAATATTGAACGGTTTGGTAATATTTCCCCCCCATAACACTGGCAAATTGTCCTCTTAAGCTAATATATTTTTTACGTTTCACCTCTTGTTAGTTGAGATTTTTCCGAAACAGTAGTTATTTTCAATAACAAAAATAATAATCTGCATCAATCCATTGCTTTGAGTTATTCAAAGGAATTAATAGGAACGCTAATTCGTTCCCTCCTGTCAACTGTTTTTATTTTAGTTTTTTTGTCTCAGTTAAACATAAAATTTAATGATTGGTTTGTTTACATCTCTTATGATAAATATCTGAAAGAATACCATCAAGTCAAGTGAAAACTTTGTGAAATATTCCGACTTCCCCATAAGCCTTATTATAAGCGAGCCTTGTTCTGCCCAGTGGCCTTGTGACCGTTTATGAATGGTGTCATAGGGTTGTGTAGTCGAGTGAAAGGTAAGAAACAAAGATTAACGTAGGAGGAAATGTAACTTCAACCGAAAAAAGCAACCTAGATAAGCAAATGCTTGAGGTTCATAAGCCTTAAATGAAAAGACTGAAATCAGAGCATTATAAAAAAGGCAGCAAAAATGAAAAACAGAAAATAAAACATGGATCAGACTCTGCAATGCAACAAGAATCTAAAATCAAAAGCAAAGAACTGTCAAACCTGAACACTGAACCCCCTGACCATAATAATTAGACCTCTGCAAAAACATTTTGATCCCGTAAATGAGCTCAGTGTGGGCTCTTTAAGATTTCAGGATATAATTGGGGTCTCATTAAGGTCTAAATGAGTGTGAAAATGTCAACATGTGTGTTCTGCTCAAAGCTTTTTGAGGAGGTAAAGTGTGCTGCCTTTTTGTCCCGTTGGTAGCTCCTGGTTAATGCTGCTCATAAGGGACAAAGCGTTCACACATTCTTTGGGCAGTTTCCAAATCCTTCACTTACTCTAACCCTAAAAAACAGGTGTTAGCTCTCAAAGAACCATTACATTTGTGAGGTACAATAAAAAAGCACCAAGGATAGTTGGCTGCTGGTAATCAGAGCCCGACAAACATGGTAACATTCTCCCACACACAGACACAGAGCTAAGACATAATGGTGATGATAATGGTG